CCCTATCCCCTGTCGTGCCCTTGCCCTCCCACGACTACTATCGACTATATAACCAATATTTATCTAATGTTAACATATTCACATATAGAGAGAACACATAATAACATTCTTATGATGGTTTTTATTAAAGTTACCTCCACTGTTCTACGCTGATCACACACGTCGACGGTTCCTTTGTTGTTGTGATACTTTGAAATAATTCTATTGATGCTGTATCACAAGAGCAAAATTTTATTAGAAAACTACAATCCATAAAAGCAAACTTAAAAAAAATGTGATCTTTAATCTAGAAAAATCTGTAACTATGTTGCAATGAGACTAAATTTCATAATAAACCATAATATCCATATCGAGAAACTCATAAAATATGAACCTTTATCTAGAATAATTTCTATTAAATTACATTTTGCTTTGAAATTTAAGACTAAGACATTGGAACAGACATGGCTTATGTTCACCGCGGCCATATGAATAAGATCTTGAAGAAATAAATCTCAAAATTCTCCCAGGATTTTAAGTCAAACAAAAATTTGTCCAACAGCAGAGAGAGAGTAGACAATAAGATCTGGAGTGTTGATTGGATCAACACTAGGTTATGACTTCTTGTGAGATCCACCTAATGTGCAGAGAAACTAGGAATTATTGAGGTAAACTTGTACTCCTAGAATTTGAGTGAGTTTAAGGTGCCCTTGTTTCCAACTTGCAGTCTCTTGAAGTTCTTGTAAAATTTATTTTCTTATTTCCAAAGCGTCTCTTTATACTTAGCAAAGCCTCGTCTTTAAATGACCTTGTACCCTTTCCAAAGAAAGGTTAGTTATAATTTTTAGAAGATTAAGTATTGCCAAATATTAGAAGCGCAAACAAGAGATTTGAAAAGAAACTATGACCTCGAACTTTACAAAACATCAACTTGATGTTGTGCTTCAACAATGGACCGAACGGCATGAGACGGTTTTATTGTCCTAAAGCATCTACGGTTGGTGAGATGAAAGAGGTAATGGGCTTAAGAAGTCTTGTCATGAGTGGACTTCTCAAGATGCAATTGACTTGTGATGAGTACCTCCAAGATACAACTAATCCTAGAGAAGTGCAACCGAAGAGAAAAATATTAATTGCAATAAGAGTTCGACCTGCTCTTAACCCAGTAATTTTAGCATGTACTACTCTGAAAATCCGTTGCAAATTTTAGATGGAGAAGATTACGATTCTTGGAGTTTCTAAATAAAGACACTATTTATCTCACAATATCTATGGGATCAAATGGTAGAAGGCTATCAAGAGACAAGACACAGCAACAGTAGAATCGTTACCTTAGGCAAAGCAAAAGCAATTCGGGGAAAATAAAAAAAAGACTGGCAAACGCTCTTTGTTTCATCTAGTAACGGGTAAGTATATCTATCTTTCCTCAAGTTATGATTACTTCAAAATCAATAGATGTATGGCCAAGACCATGATCTTTCAGCCTAAGAGGATCTCGACTACAAGTCTTTTCCCTTTCGCGATCCACGTTGGGAGTTGAGTGATGAGGATAGTGACAAAAGACCATGATATGAGCAATAACACTCTAGGGTTTTCAATTTGAAGAATGAGATTCTTGATTTTGACATAGATTGCATTGAAAATCAGCAATTCGTAGATTAAGATTCATTACCAACCTTCAATATATACTCAGATAAACAACAAGATCTCTTAGGAGATCCGATCTATGATAAGGATCAAGATGATGATGAAGATATTTTGGGAGAGGATGAAAAATATGAAGAGAAGGTAGCAAGAGCACTGATCCAAGTCATGGCCTTTGAAGATCTCAATAATATAAAAAACATAGATAATTCAAGAAAATTAGGGTATTGGAATCAGAGTAGTGCAATTGAAGCATGGTTGACTCAGAATCTGTAAATTATGGCCCGGGACTTAGAGAGTAATAAAATAAATGTCGAGAAAGCCTCTAAAGACCAAAAAATTGAGTTTAAAGTATCTTACATGATTTTCAATGAGAATTCAAGAATAGTCGAATTTAATAAATTTGCATCGATTCCTCGATATACATATCAGGATCCGTTTCTCGAGGAATTCTTTTTACAACAAATAATCTTTGAGACAACTAAGAAGAATATGGTTTTCATGTTGAATTCATCATAACACATTTCAAAACTCGATGACCAATTTTCTTCAGCCAGTGAGAATGATGGAGGGCAAAATTTTTTTTTTTTTTTTTACTTTTATTCAATTTCAAAAAATGTATATTATAGTTTTAGTTTTAGTTTTAGTTTTTTTTTCTTTTTTTGAAGTTGTTAACTGTATTAGTTTTGGGATTTATTAACTAGGTTTTTTAATTTTTTAGGGATTTTAGGATTTTTATATTTTTATTTACTCCCTGCATGCTATTCACAATTATTGTCCATGAGTATTGTTCACAGGAGCAAAACTGTCATCATAAATTTTGAGTTTAAGTAAGGATATATAGGTCAATGTATTTTTGGTTTGGACACTTTTTATACTTGGAACATTAGATTATAATATATAAGATGTATGTGGGGCCCTGAGGATTCCACATGATTAGGCTTTTGGAACCCTAGCTTTGGGTATCAAGAAGAAAATCTAGGTTTATTTGAATTGTGCTTATGTTTGGCTTTCGTTCTTGCTGATGGAAAGCATGAGTCCATACATGGTGCTAGCATTGTTAACTCCAAAGAAGGATAGCACATCGTGAATGTGTATTGGTAACTGTGCTATCAACCGGATCACTATCAAATATTGCTTCTAATACCAAGGTTGGATGATATGTTGGATATACTGGGGGGTGCCCAAGTGTTTCATCTAAGAAATGGGTACCACCATATCCGAATTGAATCAGCTGATGAATGAAAAAAAACTACGTTCAAGATGCATGAGGGCCAATATGAGTGGCTAGTTATACCAAGCGGTCTTGCCAATGCTCCTAGTACGTTCATGCGCATGATGAACCAGGTCCAACATCTATTTATTGGCAAATTCATTGTTGTCTATTTTGATGATATCCTGACGTATGCTCATGACCCAAAGGAGCATATTGAATACTTAAGGGTCGTCTTAACGTCACCAAGGAATGAAAAGCTTTATATTCATCTTAAAAAGTGCTCTTTCATGACAAACTGCCTAGTTTTCCTAAGCTTTGTTTTGTCCTCTATAAGTGCACCGGTCCATGAAAGTAAAGTGAAAGCCATCCAAGAATGATCTACACCTCAAAGCATCTATAATGTGTAAAGTTTTCACGGTTTGGCTTCATTTTATCGGCAATTTATGAAGAATTTTAGCACCGTCTAAATGCCTTTCAGCTGGCATATCTACCAGCGGACCAACGCTCTCTCTTTCCCCCTTTACGCGCAGACCAGCACAACCTCGACCTTTGTGACCTCAACCTCGACCCGATCCCCAAACTGATAGTATGAAGGGAAAATTCCGATTGTTGTCATCTACCAAGAAGAGCTTTCCACTTGTTAAAGAAAAGCTCTCAACTATATCAGTGCTCGCACTGCCCAACTTTGATAAAGTGTTTGAGTTGACTGTGACGCATCAAAGTTGGTAATGGTGGCCAAGAAGGGCATCCAATAGCATTCTTTAGTGAAAAACTCAATGAGGCTATATGGAATTAATCAACATATGAACTGGAATTTGTGCAGGCCCTTAAGCATTGGCAACAATATCTCATTCAAAAGGACTGCATCTTGAACTCGGACCATGAGTCAGTCACATACATTAACAATCAAAGTAGCCTTAACTGAAAGTACACTAAATGGATGGTCTGTTTTGTATTAAAACACAAAAGTAGGCAATTTAATCAGGCAGCGGATGTACCAAGTAGATGTGTTATGCTACTAAACGCTATTAGTGCATGTGTCCTTGGCTTTGAGGAAATAAAAAAGTTATATGAAGATGACCCAACTTTTGGAGAAGCTTGGAGGTCATGTAAGGCAGGCAAGCAAGGGAGCTTCCTACTTCGAGATGTATCCTTTTGGGGTTCGCTAGTGTATAACAAAATGCTCCTGACGAGAGGGCACCATCAACGAGCTGCATGCTAGAGGTTTGGGTGGGCACACGTTGGCTATAACAAACTATTTCCTTTGTTGAGGAGAAGTACAATTAGCCAAGAATCCACCGAGATGTAAATCATTATATTAGGTGATGCCAAACGTGCTAAGTTTTAAAAGGACATGAACAAAATACAGGTCTCTATACACTCTTACCAGTTCTCAAATCTCCATTGAAGGATATGAAAGTTGGACTATGTGATCAAGCACGGTGTATATAAATTAAATTTTTTTCTTATTTTTCCTTGTTCTTACACTGATAAGACCACTCACAATATCCAAATACAAATAAATAACTCTTGAAAAAAAGAGAAACGTGGTTTTCACTTGCTACCACTATGGAATACAATTCTTTAAATCAAAATCTTAACTCATTGCTTTATGAGAATAGAAAAGCTCAATACAAAAATAAAATTTAAATAAGTAAAATTATCGGAGATTATCTCAACCGGGCTTAATACACTCTACGCCGAGTCTCCTCCTTCCAATGGTGCTCAAGATCTATGATCGTTCACTTGATTCTCCTACTTATGGTAAAACCCTCTTAAAAGCATATAGATCTCGCTCTATAACCAACTACCTAAGGCCTCAATGCCTTTGTTTTACTCAAGCCCCCTTTACTTGATCTTTAGAGCGATTGAGCGCTTAGAAATCAAAGAGAGAGGAAGAGATCTACTAGCTAGCGAATACTCCCCTTTGCTACCCACAAAAATCAAGATCTAGCCTAGTTAGGGCATGCCACCTTTTAGAACCCACAAGAGAGAGATGTGATATATCATAGCCCTAGGCGTGCCACCTTTAGAGAGATTGAGAGGCTAGGTTGGGGCATGGCCCCGTAGAGTAACGTGGGAGAGAGATGTATGCTAAGTTGGGGCATAGCCCCCTTACGGATCTTAGAGAAAGAAAATAGCTCATAGAGAGATAATAGAGAAGAGATATAGAGATTTGATAAGGGGGGAGAGTCCTTTTTTATAGATTTTTAATGCCTTAGGGTCTGCCTCAATTCGTAGGGTTAAATCTTGACCGTCGATCTAAGAAGACTTGCAGGGTGAGAGATTTAAGCCATCTATTCTTTAGATCCGCCATCAAGATTCAAAGAAGGTGCTAGAACCTTTTTCTCCATTTCCTAAACTTATTCTC